ATATCAAGCAAGAACTCCATGTAGACACAAATTAACCACTGCATTGCCACTGTTGACTCAGGCTCAAAGTCATAACCTTTTTGTAGTGGGGAAAAGTGAATGAAACAGAAAGACAAAGGACAGACTACAAGACAACAGATTCTATTCACCCATTCATGACAGAGAGATTTATGCAGGCAATTTCCATTCATGCTAATGTAAGTGGGCCACATAATTCCCTCAGATACGAAAGGCAGAAGAGACCCTTCTATCTAAGAGGCAAAAGCACTTTACTGTGTTTTACCTCCATCAGGGACTGAAAGGCAGTAATGATGAATATCAAAATTTCTATTTCTTCTCCATTTAAAACTAACAAGGCCACTTCTTGTGGTACATTATTATAGAAAACTATAAAGCTCCTCAGACAGCAGATCAATCATATCTGGAGTGGTAAAACTACAGGATACACTCAAAAGGAATGGTATTTAACTGATTGGTTTCCTTCACCAGCAATTATACTATTTCCCTATTAGCATATAACAAAAAACACTTTAGGAACAAATGCTGCCTAGCTGCACTGAATCAAACTTTATACACCAACATGCTTTATTGCAATAGTGCAATTTATAGGAAGGATCAAAACCTGTTCCAGGTGGAACTTGCCACTGCCTTCCAGAAGACCAAAATTCAGCAAAGAGGTCTGATAATGAGCAGCTTCTAATATCCTGATCTTTCACTGCACCCACAAATTCAATGATACACTATGAGGGTCCAGCAATCTAACTACACAGACTATCATTTGGCTCAAGACTACATACATACTGCACACAGATCCATTTTCATATACTAGCATTACACCTTCACAGTATTTGTATAAACAAGCTTTGGCTCTAAACATTTCAAATAAAGTTTAAGTAGAAAATGTTCCACTGATTAAAATCTAATCTTTTGTACAGTGGCTTTTTCCATTGAAACTAAGCCAAAATAAACTTTCTACTTTTTAATCAAACGTAGAAATTAGATTCCATTACATTAATTATTCTATATATCCAACTGTGAAAACTTCATTACATTCCTTGATATTAAGTAATAAAACTACAATAAAACCTTTATAGAATTCCAGTGGGCTTTTATTAACATAAATTAATTAAAAAAAAAAGACTCTACAATTATATTTTTCCATAGTCTTGTTAAGATTTTCAAGCAGCCAGCAGTCTACAAAGATAAAAGTATGAACTTATAACCATCTATATATGAAGGGTCATGCAGGTATACCGGAAACCGTATACTTTGTATATCAGAAACTGACCTATCTTTGTTGCCTTCTCACAGGGGGTTTCTCAGACTGTGGGTTGTGACCCCCCCCGGGGGGTTGCGAGCAACTTAAAAGGAGATCGCAAACTTCCCAGGGGATATGTGCAGCGGCGCGGGGAAGTGGTGCGTGGCGGTGGCATGGAGTGGTGGATGGCAGTGGTGGCTGCCGTGTGCGAGCTCCCAATCTCCCACCGTCACCATCCAGCATTCGGTGTCGTGGTATCGCAATGTTTGAGAACTCCTGCCTTATTAGTTCATTGCTGTTGGCAGCACAATGACCACAGGAAACATGTATAGGTAGAAGAAGTGTGAATAATTACGTTTTTCTGTTTCAAAGTGGATACTGGAATACAATAGTGAGACATGATCCCTTTTCCAATGAAGTTAATGACAAAAGTTATTGACATGAGTGACAACAGAAACAGCGTTGGTTATTTTATAATCCAAAACTGAAGAAAAATAACCAATGAGGAGGGGGGAGTAAAATAAAAAGCAATTCAGTTCAAAAGCCAAGATATGCACACTTGTGCAAGATTTATTGCTGTGGGCTTTAGATTTTGGCTGAAGTTTCATTTCAACTGATTTGCTGAAAAATATATGTAGAGAGTAAATTTAGATTAAATTGATCATTATAATTTATTTGGCAACAAAATAGTATAGTAGAAAGCCCTTTCTGCTAGTAAGCATGTTCTAGCTCTGAGGTCTGATTGTTATGCAAATTCTGAGCAGCACAAGATATGGACAGAGAAATAATCAAGATTGGGACTTTACATATAATAATTATTACAAATGTAAATTTCTTCTGTTTTCAAACTAATTATATCTGTATACACCATGTAGTATGCATGTAAATTTAAATAGCTGGAGGAATATACACAGAATTCTTAATTTCCCTCTGGTTTCCTCCAACAAATTGGAACTGCCAAAAGCCTATATGTTCTACTTCTTCCTGACATTAAAGGTTCAATCCTGCAACTGGTGCTTACGCAGCCAGACTTGATTTTCATGGTTAGTTCCACTAACTTCAGAACCACTTGCAAAAGTGAAGCCTTAACGACAACACCCAGCACTAACCACTCAGAAGCACTTGAAAAACAAACTAATCACTGTTCTGGCAAATAAACAATGAACATATATATTTCAAAGTACTCAATTAGAAAATGAACTTTGCCCCTTTTCTATGCTTTGAAATAGCCTCCTACCAAACACAGGGCCCTATTCTAGTTAATTACAGGTCTCTCATACTATTTTCTCCACCACCACCATATGGCCCCAGATTTAGAGGAAAAAAAATCCTACACTGATTTATAGCCTCTGTAATCCCACTGAACGAACTGAGGTATAAATCAGCACAGAATTTGAATATACTAATATGTGAAGTTGGTGGCAGTGTGCATGTATAGTCCACATTATTCTCTACTTAACCTTCCTAATGAACCTCTGTCTATAGTAGCCTATAAATGTAGATTTGAAACTGGCCATGAGAAATGCACTTGTTTTGGGCACATAAATGAAGACAAAGAACAACACATGATCTAATGAACCCTGTATATGGCATTATGACTCCAAGAGATGGTGTCCATCAGGAGGCCATGCTTAGAAGCGGTTTGCAGCCATAGGGGACTAGTGCTTCAGATGCAATCTGCTGAAATTGTCAATGTAGGATGCAAAAATAGCTGCTGTCTCCACGGTGCCTAATGCTTACGACACGTATATTTGGAAGATGGAACAAAATGCACACTCCAGATGAGAAAACAAGAATGAGCCAAATGTCTCTCTCCCAGACGAGGTTGAGGAGAAAGGAACACAATCAGCCATTGTAAGGTGCAGCAGGAACCAAAAAGGGGCTTCTTTCCTCTTAAAAAATGACACGCACATGGATCGTAAATTTATGCTTCATTAGCACCTTGAAATGTTGTATAGAGGCCAAAAACGAGCACTTCAACATGAACAGAGTCGGATGTCCTTTGTTTTATCCACAATAGATTTGATAAAGAAAATTACAAGATAAGTCCTGCAAGATGAAAGTTGAAAATGTTTCTGGCTACATTTAATTAACTGGAGAGGAGAGAAAATCAAGTGGATCTGTGATCAATGATGATCCTGTCACATTGCCAAGGTCAGGAAGACCTCCATTGACCTGCAGCAAAAGGGCTGTCCATTAAAAGCAAAGTGTCAGGTTACAATCTCTTTACCTGCATTATTAATACCACAGATTATCGAACCTGCCTTTATAAATTAAATGTAGTTTTCACTTCCCTCTTCCTCTCCCATTTATTTTTTTGCACTTCACTAAGCATGGCAAATTAAGCAGCCCACTCACGCACACTTTTTTTGTTCCTAGTCAAATTCAGATTTCTGGGTTCCATCCACACTAACACAAGGCCTAGACACTATGACAGGAGTGCTGCAGACAGATCAGTGGATTGTTTTAAACATTTCAAGCACATTGTGTAAAATCAGTAAGAAAACCAACACTTTGGACCTAAACATCCTGACAGTCTCCCTTTCCAGTACCCAGTGTTAACACATTTGCAACTATCCAGACCACTGTCACACTTGGATAAAGCGCTCTGTTCCTTTTGGGCCTTCTTCCCCTCCTCCCATCCCCATTTCTAGTCCATATCATTACCTTTTGCTCCGCATACCCAACCAGGTTCCTAAAGGGAACACAAGACTCAAAGTGGGGAATGGAATGTTAATGCCACCATAGACCATAAAGCAAATGGCACCACCTCTTTGTTTAAATGCAAAGAAAACCACATAGGCGGGTGTATAAAAGGATCAGAACAAGACAGATTTACAATAAGCAGCGACTTTGTGAAGTCAAATTTCCAAGGTGCAATATGTATGTTAGTTTTTTTGCTCTCATTGAAAAGTCATTCTAAAATAGGTATC